GGGGGGGGGGATTTATTGGGTTTTTGTTTTGGGGCCCAATCCAAACGACCCGCCTCATTGCTCACCCCTAGTTTTATATTGCAATAAAAGTTAAACAATCAAAATCATTCAAACTTATGATGGTATAATTTGTATAAAAAAAAAACACATTTTTAATATATTTTAATTAATCTATGATGTAATCTAGTAAAAAGAACATCATAAATGTAAGTCACATAGTAAATCAAGTAAAAAAATATAAAATATAAGAACAAGAGTATCATGTTTAAAAACATATAAAAAATTAATATGATTTGTTATTCCTTTTAATCGAAATGGTTAAAAAAAAAATCTAAAAACTGAACTGAATAATATATTCTGTTTTGGACAACCGAATCGTTTAACCCAAAAACCGAATAACCAAAACTTCATTCAGTTCGGTAAGTTATAATCCGGTTTTGATTTTATTCAACATCCTTAAGCTTGATCTTGAAGTGAAAAGTTGTCGATGGAAGTCCTCTTGTTTGTTTTTCGCTTATTGTTATAAAATAGTTGGTGATTTAACGTAATTGTACTTTTGATTTAACAGCTTTTAGTTAACCTAGTTATGTTGAGACATTTGTTAATGGAGATTTGGTAGAATTAGGGTTATATATGAAATGATGAGTGACAGCCATAGAACTTAAAACCAACGTTACTATATATACCTTCATCATCATTGTTATTTGTTGGAAGGACAAATCGATTCATTTCTATTTCTAGAAATATATTTTGAAAATAAAAAATAAAAAATTAAGGTTTATTATGTTATTATTGTACCTAATTGATTAATTGGTTAGGATTATATAATAATAAATAAACGAGTTAATTAGTTATAAATGCCAAAACATTAATTTTAAAGAGAAATTTTTTAAAAAACCAGTATATTTTGAGTCATTAAGTCTCTAAACTATTTTTTTGAACAAATAAAATTTTAAATTTATTAAAACTGAGAAAAACCGAACGGGCTTTCATGTTTTGAACATTAGATATCCGAATATTGTTTAAACGAATAAATCTTTACATTTATAAAACGAAAGAAATTTACCACTTCTTTTTTCATGTATCAACAAATCAGTACGAAAAAAACACCATTTTTTTAAACTCTAAATCACATGTATTTGTGATGATTTTGTGACTGTAATTTGAATTTGAATTTGAAAGACAAATAAAGAATAATTAAAATGATATTTAATCATCTTTTATTTGAATTATTGTACTTAAGATCAGTCGATTGAGAAATGACATATTTTGCTTTCCTTTTAAAAGTGTAATGATTTATTTGTTTTAAAAAATGTTCAAGAATTAATCGCTTTAAATATGAAAGTTTGTTGGGTTTAATTTTCTCGGTTTTAGACTTTTAGTAACTCTAATGATTTGTTTATTCAATTTTAAATTTAAATTTAATTTAGGGACTTGTTCACTCAAAATATGATAATTTATTGAGTTTTTTTTTTCATATTAAAAATATAAATCTGAAAATCAAAATTATTTAAAAGTTACAACAAAGGGTGCATGTATTTTGCCATTTTTTAAACTAAAAAATAGTTGAAATTTAGGTATTTTAAGAGCATGTGTACCAAATGGTAGAAAGATATATAGTAAATAGTAATTATTGATGAACATGAAATTCATTATGGTCTCTTAATTGGAAGCTTAATTAAATTACTATTAGAGTCAAAATGGTCCATCCGAAGCATAATTTATGATGGTTTCAACACTTGTCTGAATTAATATACATAGAAATTAATTGTTTTGTGTTGGTATTTCTTCTTGATGATCAGATCAAGATCATGACCAAGACCAGGACCACGACTTATTTTAAGTTAATCAAAACCAAAAGATGATTTTTACTCACTATTTTTCTATCTTTTGGACCAAAGTTTGTATCTTTTTCAGCTTCTTAATTTTGGTTTTTGAAAGAATGGTTGATCATATAATAACCAGGTCCGTTCATGACGTTTTATAAGCCCTGTACGAACATAAAAACATCGCCCACTTCAAAAACAATGTTTTTACCCCTGATATCTTTGGCCCTAGACGTGCGCCTGTGCCGCCCTTCCCCAGAAACAACCCTGATAATAACAAAACGAAACCAAA